AGGGGGATCGAATGTATTTATTATTATTATTTATTATTAATTATTATTGTTATGTATTATTTATTATTATTATGTATTTCTTATTATTATGTGTTTATTATTTATTATTATGTATTTATTATTATTATTATTATTATGTGTTTATTATTATTTATTATTATGTATTTATTATTATTATTATTATTTTTTAGTAAAACGTTAATAGTGCCATTTACCTGCCTCCCCAATACAAAATCCTTGCAAACACACACATCACCCTCACCCAGCACCCTAACATTGACACAGCACCCCAACACACACACACACACAGCACCCTAACACCAGCACCCTAACATTGACACAGCACCCTAACATTGACACAGCACCCTAACACACACACAGCACCCTAACACCAGCACACTAACATTGACACATCACCCTAACACACACACAGCACCCTAACATTGACACAGCACCCTAACACACACACAGCACCCTAACACTCACACAGCACCCTAACACCAGCACCCTAACACTGACACAGCACCCTAACATTGACACAGCACCCTAACATTGACACAGCACCCTAACACACACACACAGCACCCTAACACACACACACAGCACCCCAACACACACACACAGCACCCTAACACCAGTACCCTAACACCAGCACCCTAACATTGACACATCACCCTAACACACACACAGCACCCTAACACACACAGCACGGTAGCACTCACACAGCACCCTAACACCAGCACCCTAGCACTCACACAGCACCCTAGCACTCACACAGCACCCTAACACCAGCACCCTAACATTGACACATCACCCTAACATTGACACATCACCCTAACACACACACAGCACCCTAACACATACAGCAACCTAGCACACACACACATCACCCCAACACACACACACATGACCCCAACACACACACATCACCCCAACACATACACAGCACCCCAACACACATCACCCTCACACACACATCGCCCTCAAATACACAGAACCCTCGCACAGTGCCCTAACACACAGCGCCCTCACACACACATACTGCACCCCCCCACACACACCACCCTCCCACACACACACTATACTCCTCACAAATGCACACTACACCCCTCACACACACAGCACCCCCCAAACACACTGCACCACTCACACACTCACTAGATCTCATATACGCACTCCTGAGTCCTTCAAACACACACTAGATCCCCTACACACAGACGCTGCACCACTTACACACACACAACATTTCTGACATACACACTCAGGATCCCCTATGAACACATTAGATACCCTTTAAGCAAACACATAGTGTCTCCATAAATGGGATACAGTGAGTATTCCATTTATGGAAACCCCTGAGATAAGTTTCAAGCAAACACAATGCAAGCATGTTATTAAATTTGCTTGCGCTGTGCAGATCAAATACAGGGCCCTTTTCTCATGTCCTGGAAAAGCATTGAACCAACATGCTCACTTTGAGATGGGGAGTGCTTGTCATTGGGGATGACAAAACACACCCTATCTGGCCCCACCCCCTTTTCATTGGGCCGCTGTAATTAAAAATGCCCGGGCCGAATTTTTTCCCCAGTCCGGCCCTGGGTCTAGTTGTATCACCGGGCAGCCTGGCGGGTGCGCGAGGGAGCACTCTCCCCTGAGTAGTCAGGGGAGAGTGCTCCCTTGCGTACCCCCGCCTGCCTGCCCACCCGCCCGGTGACACCAGGGCCAGCCTCGTGGGGGCCCTGAGGTGGCCACAGTGGCATACATACCGGGTCGCAGGGCCGGGTCGACCCCGGTATGTACGCCACTGGCTGGAATGACTGGGAGTGTTTTACTGTGTATTACGTGTTTATTGGTTGTTTTACAAAACCCTGTGGGTAGTACTAATGTTTAAGAATGTGTATAATAGAACAATAAAGCCACAGGTCTGTCTGTTCCTGCTTGATCCTCAAAACGGAGCCTTGTCTTGTTCTTGGGAGAGATTTATTGTATGCTGTTCCAGTTCGACTGCTAGGAGTGTAAACCTATTCTTATGGTTTTTCCTACTCGGCTGTTTACAGCATTCATATGGTTTCCTGTTCGGCGGATTGGTGTCTTTGGTAGCTACCGGTTTATCTGTAAGGGGAATATCTACTAAATGTCTTTAACCTCTTTTATGCCCGCGGTGCCGTTACATACTTCATGAGAGCGTGATATTTCCATATGTGGTGGCAGTGCAGGTGGAGAGATTTTTTTAACCTCTAAAGCCAGATATTGGAGACATTACTCCCGGTCTCCTACTGGCACAAATAAATGGACCTCATTCCACTATTCATCTGCCCTTATCTTCATTGTCAATCTGTCACAAAATGTGTACACGTGCTGGTGAACTATGGAATTATACCATTCCAAACATAAACTTGCCTGTGAAAAAGGTTATGATTATTTATGTTATGGAAGAAATGCCAGCAGGACTCTTAGGGAGAACAACCTCTCACAATAGGGTTTGGCTAAGAGTACCATGCATCACGGAAGGATC